TCAAATTTTCTAATTATATAAATTACAAAATATTTATTATTAAAACTTTAAATTTTTAACAATTTTAAAATTTTAGATTATTACTATGTTTTTACTATATAAATTTTGTAAAATTGAATTGTAAGTTTTATGTTATATTAAAACTTATATTTTTTTATAAAAATAATTTTTTATTTTATATTGCTCTTAAAATATAATAGCACTATTATTAATAATTATAGTTAAGTTTTTTTTAAAAAAATTTTTAAAATTTTATATTTAATTTTAAAGTTAAATTTACAAATTTTATATATTTTACATATGAAATTTTGAATTATAAACTTCATAATTAAAAAAAAAATTTAATTTGTTTGTTTTAGTAAAACTCATATATTATAAAATATAAATATTAAATTTACTAATCATTTTAAAAAAAAATTTTAAATAAAAAAATATTAACTTTTATATATTATATAAATTTTAATTTTTTATATATTTTACTATAAAAATTTCTTTTTTTCCACTTAGGCCATCTTGCCTTTAGTCTCCTTTATTACTTTACGATTGTTGGTATATATTCGGCCAGGAGCATAATATTGAGGAGTGGTATTCTGCAGTTACTTCAAGAGCACTTACAAGTGATCGGCCATACTGAGCAGACATATCTGTATGAATACATCTTAATAGGCCTCAAAAAAGAAACACTATCTCTCTCAGAGAGAGCTCTATCAGACCACTGCCCTACAATAGGATATTGCCAATCTGATGATATCTTCTCATAGGAAAGTGAAAAGAAAAAAAAATTTTACTAACACTAATACTAAACTAAAAGGGAATACTGAAAAAAAATGAAACTAATACTAAAAAACAAATACAAAAACGAAAGATAGGGATAAATAAAAAAAGGAATCTGATAGATCACAATTATAGACCTGTGTTGGGCCTTAAAAATTACATATTAATAGATAGAAATGCTCTGTATCTAACTCTATCCTAATAATATATGTGTAAGTATAAAATATATAAAAACCACGTTAGCTAAACAAGACAGAGTAGCCTGAATAAGAAAGTCTTGAAGTATTGTTCAACAGTTTTTCTGGTTCAAAGCACTTATACCATTATATTGTCTAACAGTCTGTACAGTTGCTTATTCTGGATGTCCGCCTGATATCACGTTTTGGTAATCCTATTTACAGACTCACGTAAACAAATAAACAATACCAACTATTTTGGTAAATTACATGTCAATCTTTTGGAGGAATAAGCTGAGACACCTACTTTTTGAACAAAATTTCCTCAAAAAAAAGTGGTGGGCCAATGAAACTTTTTTGTGGTTGTTTCTTGTAAGTTTTACAGTTGTATAGAGATATCTAAAGCTATAATACTCCTGGCATAATTCTAGAAGCTCTATGTTCCCAAAATATCCTTCTGGTTTGGATGCTAAATAAAAGTAAAGAAGTCTGTGAGCAGAAGCTTGACCTCTACCAAAACCAGTCCAAAGTAGACCACACCTCAGTTTTATACTTTTGGTACTTCATTGACAACACACCTACTTCTGTAAAACCAAGTTTATTATTTACTTTAGTATCTTCTATAATGCTAACCGTAGTTCAGTTTCTTGATTTTTGTTGACCAGATGATCGTTAGGAAGAGTTGGTGTTGGAAACTGATTTTACTATGAAATTGATTATTGGGCATTATTTTTGTTGTCTACTGTACTTGATCTTTTGTTTTTCAGGGTTGTTACAGGAGTCTTAACTTAGTTGGGCTTACGAGATATAATAAGAAAAATTATATAAAAAGACTATTCTTAAGTAGCATTGTAGAAGTTTTGATGAGAATGTATTGAAACAGAATAAAAATTTTAAACTTGGATCTCTACTCAAGAATAGATAGTTTTTCTTTTTTTTAATATTTTAGATATAGACTTAAATAACTAGTATAGAGCTTGATTAGATTATTTTATAGTACTATATAATTTTTATAATTCAGTATGGATTTAATAGTGCTATCTTTGTTTTCTTTTCTTTTATTTTATTTTTTATTTTATTTGTTTTTTGGTTTTATTTAATTAGGTAAATCAAACTTGAATATTATAGTATTATCTACTTTTTTCTTTTTACTCTTTGAATTTGTATTAGTTTCTTTTTTCACTCTTATATAAAAGAAAAGATAGTATTGATATAGCATATAGTACTGGCCAATGATCAAAGGATTCATGTCTCTAGTAAGTTAAAGGCCTGAAGAGAAACAAACTACCACTAGACAATATCACATCTGGGCTTTTAAAAGTCGAGTAAGTTACTTGTTGTAGTTAATAAATAATAACTTTAGTTAAAAGTTCTTGTAATTTTTGCTTGGTTTATATCTTAATAAAACAGTAGCAGAATATGCCAAAAAAAAATAATTATAATTAAATAACTAATACTATTATTTATTATTTTAAAAAAATATTATTTTTTTGAAATACTAAATATTATATATATTTCCTTCTTCATTTCTCTGCTTCATTACTATTATCTTGTAAATTATTTAAATCTAATTCATTTTTTATTTCAATTTTATCTAAATTTTTATTTCAAATATCTATATTTTTTAATGATAAATTATAAAATATAATTGTTGCTTTTATAGTATCTTAAATGAACTTTAAATTTTTTTGATGAAATTTGAGTTCTTATTCTATATAAACAACTAAATTTATTCTTCTAAATTCTATTAAAATATTTAATTCTAATTTGTTCTTTAGCAAATAATTTATTAAAAATTGCATTTGTTAGAATATTTGCATTTAGTTGTTTATAAAGAATCATTGTAGTTAAAGTAAGTTGATAACTATAATTAGCTAATAAATATTTTCTATTATTAAAAAAATGTTATATATTTTGAAATAATGGTATTAATTTATAAGTAGTCAAATCTTTAACTAATTTGACCACCCAATATTAGCAAATTGAATATATTTAAATCATCATAAACTAATTGTATAGTTAAATATATTTTTTAACTATAATAGATTTTTTATCTTTTATTGATTTATATTCAAGTGTAATATCAATTCTATCTAAAAATCTAATACAGCCTTTAAATTTTGATGATAATTTCATATGCTTACTGATTTGTTAATATTCTAAAGAATCAAATTAATGAACATAATTATTTCTAATTAAATTAATTGCTATTACTATATATTTAGTATATTTAACAACTGTACCAATTCCTATACCCTATTGTCTAGCAAATCTTCTAATAGAAATGCTATTTCTATTGTATTCTAATCTTTCTAAAGTAATTGCCAATTGTAACTAAACAAGTTTTTGTGAATATTCTGACTTGTTTCGAAATACTGAATTGTATTATATAAGGTTTTCAATCTACAAAAATGTTTTTTTACTAACTCTTGTTGTTTGTCTAAAATTATAATCAATATAAATACTTAAATAAAAGACCTTTAGAAAAGTTATCAGACTTACTGGTTTTTTTACAGGAGGTAAAATATTGCTCTAATTCAATTGCTTCCAGTAGTTCTAATAATTTGTTAATTTCTTTTTTCAAAAAATTTAATTGTATCTTTATGAGTACCATTAGAATATTTTTCTATTAATATTTCTAAAATACTATTTATATCTTTAATGTGTATTGTTAATCTAAAATATAAGGTATTTTAGTACAATATATATAAAAGATGTAAGAATTTTCAACAATTGTCAAAGTATCAATTTTTATTATAACAATATAAATAAATTAACAAATAGATTACTGATTATGAAATAAATACATCACTAATTTAATTCAAAATCAGAAACCTGAACTTTAACATTAAGCCTGAAACCCCCTATTTACAGATTCATATTTAACAAATAAAGTTATACATTACTTATTTAAAAATAAATATGTTATCTATTTCTACCCAAATTAGATTTCCACACATTAATTTTGAAACCTCATAATACTGTATTCCCACATATTAATTTTGAATCTTTTAATACTGTAATACTAATGCTATTATAAAATAGAAAGATTCAAAATTATTATTTCTGAAACTCTGTTATACTTTATGAATAAACTTTATTTAAATAATTTAATTTATAACAGATAATAATAGAATAATAACTAAATTTGCACAAGTTAACTTGTGCTAGAATTTAGTTATTTATACAATCTCATATAATAACTATATTATCTGGCATTTATTATTAAATAGATTTTGTATTTACAAACTGTTAGTATTTATTTAACACTATAAATTTTAATGATATTTACAATTTACAATATATTGTATATTAATCAAAATATTTAAATTGTCAATTTGTACAAAAAGCATTTATGGTAATATATATATATATTTTTTAAATTGTCAATTATCTGGTTGCAAGACTATTTAAGGCAGGATTTTTTAAATTGTAAATCATTTGGTTGTGCAAAAACATTTAGGGCAGGATTTTTTTCAAATTGTAGTTGTGCAAAAACACTTTGGTGAGATTTTTTTTTAAATTATTAATTGTCTAGTTGTGCAAAAAATATTTAGAGCAAGATTTTTTTTCTTTTAAATTGTCAATTATCTAGTTGTACAAAGAAAACTTTGGGCTATATTTTTTTTAAATTATCAATTATCTGATTATATACAGAACACTTTGGGCTAAATTTTTTTTTTAAATTGTCAATTATTTGGTTGCATAAAGAACACTTTAGATAAATTTTTTTTTAAATTATCAATCATCTGGTTGTACAAAAAACATTTAGAGTAGGTTTTTAAATTGTCAATTATCAAGTGTATGAAGAATATTTATAGAGCTAAATTTTTGTTATAAAATTTGGTTATGCAAAGAACCTTTTTAAAGCAATAATTTTTTTAATATTTAGTTGTTTTAAATATTAAAATTATGTGAAAATTAACTTTAAATTAAGAACTTCAATTATCTTATTAAAAATTCAACAACTTTTCAAATACAATTTATTTAAGTATATTTAATGTATCTAATTATTAAATATACAATTATTATAATATTTTTTAATAATTATTATATTCTTATTACTATATAGTTGCTTATTTTTTGATTATTTGTGATGTTAAAAGACTGTTTTCTATTTTTGTTTAAAACTTCTTGAGCCATATAAAAATTTTCATAAAATTCTTGTTCATTCAAATTCTAAAAAAAATTTTAACAAAAAGAAATTCTTTTTTGTTAAAAATTAAATTTGAAATAATTTATTCAATATTTTATTACAATAATACCTGTGAATTATTATTATTATCACTTAAATATTTTTTACTTTCTGATACAATATTTGATGCATTATAATCAATATCAGAATTAGTATTAGGACCAGTACATTCAATTAAATCTTGTGCAGTTTGTTTAGATTGTATAGTAGTAATTAATTTATTAAGAATATTTGCTAATGCTTTTTTTTATAATTATCTATAGGTTAGCATAGGCATAGTATTTACCAGAAGACTTATGTCCACTAATCACACAACCAGTATTTTTAGGTACACCAATGCTAAAAAGTTTCATAATGCTTGTTCGTCTACCAGAATGATTGCAGATATTTCTTGTTTTAATATTTATTCCATATTCAATATATATAATTTTGAACAATGAGCAAATTGTATGATTAGCTAATAGTTTATCAAGATATCACTTTCTTTAACAATAGCTTTAATAAATTATTAGCATTAGTACATATAATGTTTAATAAATAAATAATAAATAAATTAGTATTACCATTCAGACTACGACAAACAGAAAGATAAAAATTTAAATATTTGAAATTTTAGAATATAAAGAAAAATATTTACTTATATCAGAATTAGGCTCTATAATACCTTGTGGATCTGATGAAAAAGGTATAACTAAATCAAATTGATTTTCTTTAATCTCTCTTGGTCATTTTTTTGTTAGTTTTTTCTTAAAATAATACCATCAGGCATATCTGCAATTTGTGATGTATGCAAATTAACATATTTGCTCCTCTGGTTGCACCTAATATAGAAATCCAGAAAAAACCTTATTTTAAAAGTCCTAAAAGAGTATTTAAATCTAAATTCTCATGATTTAAAATCTGCCAAATCTCTTCTGTTGTTAAACCATTGGTGGATTTGGATTCTTCAAGTCATTTAAGTTATTATCACTATTATATTCATTTTCAAAGCTGCTAGAAATTTATAAATCCTATTTATAAAATTGCTTATTAATTTTTTTTAAATTATTTGTAATTAAATACCAAACTACAGCAATAGTACAAATAATATTTTATAATATTGAATAAATAAACTTGATGTTGATTTTTTTAAATAATATAAACTTATTATTATACAATATTAATTTATTATTATTATTATTAAAATAAAAATTACTAGCAGCTCATTGTCTATATCAGATATTACAATTACTTTAGGTTGATTTAAAATATTATTATTTCTTGAACTTGTATCGAATATATTAATTTCGATTTTTAATTTTGAATCTATTATTTCATTAGAAATTGTTAGATAAAATAAGTTCAGATTTGCAATTTGCATTTCTTATATTGATTATATTATGTCATCAATTAATTTATCATTTAACATAAATAAATATTTATTGGTTATATATATAATGTACATATATAGTATATATGAATTAGATTTATTATAGTATTGATAATTACAGTACAGTTTATATAGTACTAATAAAACTACTAAACCATACTAAATATATACTTGATTTTTTCAATAGTATTTTACTAGAAGTTTTAAAGTTAAAATATAAAAATCTAATTTTAATTGAAATTGGTTATATATTTATTTTTAAATAAGTGATATATTAACTTTATTTTATTTTCTAATTAGTTTAAAATTATGATTTTGTCATTAAAAAGTCTATTTATTTCATTAAATAGAGATCTCCAAACACTCTTATTTTATTTTTTGATTTTAAAATTTTGAAATACAAATAAAGTTTTTCAAACTTTTATTTAATTTCAAAATGTAATACTTATTTGTTAACTTTGAAAACCTATTATATTGAATTATAAATCAGAAAAATAAAATAAGATTCTCAAATTTTAATTTTGAAACAGCTATTGGATTCGTTATGTACTACTAAATAGTGATAAATAGAACAGAAGATCAAAAATGATTATATTATTATTATGAATTAAGATATCATAAAGTATAACAGGTTTTAGAAATAATGATTTTAAAACTTTCTATTTTATAATAGCAATAGTATTATCTAATCTGAGATTTTATAAATAGGACTTCTATTTTATTTTCTAAATTCAAAGTTAGAAACACAAATAAAAATTTTTAAGCTCACTTATTTTCAAACTTCTAATTGAAATATTAGAAGGTTTTAAAAAATCTTATTTTATTTTTCTGATTTATAATTCAATATAATAAAAAAACAAATTTGTAGATGATTTTGATACGGCTATACAATTGATAAATAATTTTTTTATATATTTTACAATACTTTTTTTAGAAGCTTAGATTTCTAATTTTTTATAAAATGAGAATAAATTTAACAGATAAATTTATATTTTTGCTTTACCTATAGCATATTCTTTGTTTGAACCCTATAAATCTCATAGCTTTTTTCTGTAATATGATTGGCTATTTTGCTAAAACCCAAGTTAATTCTGCAAAATCAAATC